ATCAGATATAATCTCTCATTTTTCCCTCCAGCCTATAGAATAAAGTTTAAACTCCTAAGCATAAAATATAAAGTGTTGTTTGTCATTATCTGGCCCCTAACTTCTTTTATCCTCATCTCAACATTATCACCCCCTCCTCTCCAGCTAACAGAATCATTCCGCAGTTCCCTGAATGTACCAACCTGTTTATTTCTTTCATGCCTTTGCACATGGCCTCTTTTCCTTGACTTACTTTCCTCTTCTTCTTCCTGCATGGTGAGCTCTTCACTTATCCATAAAGACTTTGCTCAGTTGGCCTCTCTTTTGTGGCAGAAGTAGCGATTTCCTTTCCTTCACTCCTGAAACATCGTTCCCCTCCCATTTTTAGCACTTGCCGAGTTGTGTTACAATTATCTCTTCATGACTTTTTCTCCTTTTAGACTGTGAACTCTTGAAAGTAGAAACTGCATCTTATTTGCTTCCACCTTCCAAGACCTTAGCCTGGAACTTGATCCCGAGTAGATGCTAGGAAAATGTTGGTTGCTATTAAATTGTTCCCAATCATATTAACTGAATATGAAGATTAGGAAAGAAAGACAGGCATGGAAAGGGAGAAAAAAGATAATTCAATGACCCGAGCTAATGAAAGTAAGGTCATATTGGGAACTCTAAAGGCCTATAGTTTTATGTTGGAGGGAACTTGAGAGTTAAGAAATTCAACTAGAATTTTCTAAAATGTAACGAGTCTATTTAGGTTATTGTTTTGGTTGGCTATTATCACACCGATGTTCAGAATGAGGATGAGAGGCTGTGGACTTCAGGCATGAAATCCGTGTGTGTTCACATGATGATGGAGGAAGAAGGCTCACCTCTCTGTAACGTGCAGTGCCACTGTGATATGCTGTGATGTGACCTTGTACCCCAGGACATTCCTGGCCACATACTCCAAACCCAGTAAGGCTGAGGCCAGGCAAGCACCAGCCTGCACCATTCCCCAGCTCTGTGAGTTTCTTGTGCTTCTTTTAGAAAAATGAAGGAGACTCAAACTTTCGTTGCTAGTTAAGACTACCAGCTGTAGATGATGATCTACGAAGGGAACAGAGAAGGTTTTATTCTTCCCGATTCCTGGGAGACTCTATTTATGTGTACCTCCCTAATTAGGGAGACCAGTTCTTTTGTAGTTTTGTGTACTTGTGATGTTATTGAAGTGAGGTGGTTTGACTTCAGGTCAGATTACACTCCAGCAAAAAACCGCTTTGCAATGAAAACACCTCCTGGCCTTTGCCTGAGAGGCCATGTGCATTAAGCTGTAGTGACATACCAGAATGGGACGTTTGGAACACTTGTCCCCAGCCCGTAGGGTGCATCAGTGTCATGGACGTGCCCACACTTCCTGAACAGGGCACCACCAGGCGCTGGGCCTCTAGGCCCCACCAAGGGCGCTCTTCCCTCAAGGCTCTCACGGATGCTGGTAGGAAACAGTGTTACGTTACAGTGAGGTGTCTGGCAGAGGTGAGAATCGCTCCTGGTGTCATGTTACGGATACAAAGCAATGGGAAATTGATCCTGTGGACATTCATGTAAAATTCATTTAGTTTTTATTCCTACACCAAAGTTATATTTTTCAGTCATTTCTGAATAGAAAATTTTGTTCAATAGCTCATGTGATGAACTGAGGACTTTTGGCCCATATGGTTTGCGTTTCACCAGGTGCTGATGCTAATGTGATCTCAGAGGGAAATGTTTAGCACATTCACGAAAATGACATTCTCCAGCCTTTTAAAAATCACTTCTTTGAATGATAAAACAATCCAAAGCTAAGAGGGAAAGAAGGAAATAGATTTGTATGAGAAATGTACGGATTTCAACTCTATACCTGATGTTTTATTTTAAAAAATAAAAATGATTGGAGAAAGCTGGGTAGTGGGTACTGTGGTGTTTACTCTTCTCCACATTTGTGTCAAAGCTTAAATGCTTTATAATAAAAACATTTTGAAGCATCTTTTGCATAGGATTAGAGAATTTCAAAAAGTAATATGGCTATTATAAATTGTTTTTGTTACAAGCTTTCAACTTGGCAACATTTAGGAAAGGCTAATTAGTTTGTGTTGCTGTGTATATGTCTTTTCTTTATAAAACATATGGTTCAGATCCTTAATCAGTTTCTGGCTTGTGCCCTCATTACTTTGTATTGGGCAAATCTTACTTTTTAAAGTCTGGTTAAAGAAAAATTAAACCAAAATATGAAGCATGAAGATGTTCAGACATGTAGTTAACAAGTGGTTTCTATTCCAGGTGGGTGCTGGCAAGATGTCCTGTGTAGGCTCGCTCAGAGATGCCACTCTCCACTCTGTTCTTCCCTGTCTCTAGTGCTTGCTGGTGGAGATGCCAGTGTTTTATGTCAGGTCATTGTAACAGAGCTCCCACTAGCTTCTGTCACCAAGCACATGTGAGCAGCTCTGGCCATGCTCATCTTGGGACATGCACTTGGTTGTGGCCACCACACAAGGGAGGTGAATGGCAGCACCAGTGTGGTTAGCTGAATAACGGCCCCCAAAGATCCTAATCCCCAGAACCTGCAAATGTGTTACCTTACGTGGTAAAAGGGACTTTGATGATGTGATTAAATTAGGGTCTTGAGATGGGGAGGTAACAGTGCTATCCAGCTGGGCTTGATGAAATCATAGGGATCCTTAGGAGAGCGAGGCAGGAGGATCAGAGTCAGAGAAGGAGATGTGACCAGGGAGGCGGAGGTTGGCATGATGCGACCATGAGCCAAGGAATGTAAGCAGCCTCCAGAAACTAGAAAAGGCAAGGAACAGATTCTCCCCTAGAGCCTCCAGGAGTACAGCCTTATTGACACCTTTATTTTAGCCCCAAATCAAGAAGACAGTGAAAGTGATTTTGGATTTCTGATCTCTGGAAGTACATGATAAATTTGTGTTGATGTAAGCCACTAAGTTTTTGCTCATTTCTTACAGCAGCCATAGGAAACTGATGCAAACAGCCTTGTGCCTGAGAAAGGGCTTGGCAAGGGGTTAAGACCTCTCTCCTATCAGAGATAATTGGGTTCACTGAGAGTTTAGGAAGGGCAACAGTTAAGTCCTTAACAGTGCTAGCTTTGAGTTAGCACCCAGATTGCCTGGGTTAAAATCCTGGCACCATCATTTATTAGCAGTGTAATCTTGAGTAAGTGGATCTCTGTCTACCTTTGTTCTCTTATCTGTAAAATGGAATGATAATGGAAGTTGCCTCAGAAGCTTGTTATGAGACTGAACTGATGTAATCTAGGCAAAGCGTTTGCACAGTACGTGCACAGAGTAGAGGTGCTGTAAACGTTGGCCATTGTTACCTACGCCCTCAGCTATTCAAAGGCTTTGCTGTGTGTTTGTGGCTACTAAATTTTGTTAGCCCATTTAATAAGGCACTCTTTGTTTTGGGAACCACGTGAATTATGCATTCCTCACTCATATAAATCTGAAAGAAAAACCCGCCCATTCTGGGGACAGTGACATCGTGGCTAAATGCATGGTCCTTGGCTTGGTGGGATTTTTGTTTTGTTTTAATAGGGGGCACAAAAATAAATATACATGTTTCTGTGTAAGGAACAAGTCTGTTCCTTACAGTGAAATGTGTTCATGTTTGCCTGTTTAGATCTTAACTCAGGGAGCCTGTAGGCTGCATTCTTCTACCTATCCTTGTGCTCACAGTAGGGGGTTTTCATAAAACGTCAGGAATCTCAGGGTAAGGAAGACCATGTGCAGTGGTTGGAGGGAGCAGGAGGAGTGCGTGTAGAGTCACTGTAGTTTGAGAGTGACGAGCATGTGGAAGAGGTCATGGGTGATGAGCAGCAGTTGGTTTATGGCATGGTTGTCACTCAGTGGAGGGCATGAGGTTCTCTCGCATTCTGTCTTTCCGTTGCATTCTACAGTGTCATCTGATGAAGTCCTTTTGGTACTTTATAGTAACTATGTCTCTTTTAGTGGAACCTAGTATGAGCTGTCAGGCAGTTCGTACTAAATTTCCCTCTGTGGGTGGCATTTGAATTGGTCAGGGGTAGAATTCCAGGCAGAGAAGAGCGTATGTGTACAGTGAGGCTGGAAGACAGCAAAGAGCAGGGCGTGTTTGGGAAATTACAGACAGTAGAGGCATATGGTGTATGCTGGGTGAAGAGAGGGTAGGATGGGAAGCTGGATTGTCCGCTGAGGGAAGAGTGTGAAGAGCTTCAGGTGTCCAATTTAGGAGTATGGACTTGATCCTGGAGCCCTTCCTTCACAAGAGTGTGCACAAGTGCTGTCTTAAAATAGATATATGGGAAGGGACATAAAGAGCTCTGGGGTCCCGGGGTGTTGGAAATGCTGGGGAAAATGAGCGAGAGAGTTTTTTTCCTTTAGGGGTTCTCAGAGCCTATCAATACATTTTGAATTTCCCAGAAGTGGATACAGTAGATAAATAGAAATGAGACCTGGAACTAAGGCATTGGGATAAAAAAGAGTGAGTGGGTCCAAGATATTCAAGGTGAGGGATCAAAAACAATTGGTGACCAATTAGATGGTGATGGGGTGTCACTGAGGAGATGTGGCGGGAGAGAGGAGTCGAATGCCACCGTAGTTTGAAGTTTAGGATTTTATGCAATAGAGGGATAGAGAAGATGAACATGTTTTCATAGGAAGACAGTGGGTTTTGAAATTATTATGGACTTGTTTTCTTTGTGATGCTGACAGCAGAGCTGATGGTACCAATGTCCATAGACCTTTGAGAATGTGGCTCTGGGTTAAGGAGAGCTGTGGGTACGAGAAAGCTGGGTGGAGCCGAGTAGTTGGAGCCATGGGTATTGACGAAGAACTCCGGAGATAGTAAGGTTTCCAAGGATGCAAATCTCATTCGCTTATAAAAATCAGTCAATAACGTTGTAGTCATGGGCAGAGAGTAGAGCTATAATTTAGCTCTTAAGTGCTGACTCTTATATTCTGATTAGGATCATTGTCATGTTTAAGTAGAAGCTGCCTTTCTTCTTGCAGAATCACTGCGTGTGCAATGACTATGAATAAGTATGTGGAAGAAAATGTATCTCAAAAATCCTACACGACCATCAAGTATTTCATGAAGATGCTGAGCAGTGTCAGCGAGACCCTGATCTTCATCTTCATGGGCGTGTCCACCGTTGGGAAGAACCACGAGTGGAACTGGGCCTTCGTCTGCTTCACATTGGCCTTCTGTCTGATCTGGCGAGCACTGGGTAATGAGCTCTTGTTTCCCAAATGAGCATTCAGCACCACTCGCTGAAAGATGGGACTTTCTTCTTCTTGTCCGTCCCCTTTGCTGCTGCTACTTCATCTTGTGTCTTCCTCATCTCCTTCTTTCTCTTCCTCCTCGTTTTCTTTGTCTTTTTCCTTCTCTGTCTCCTTTTTCTCCTTCTCTCCCCCTCCTCCTCCTCTCCCCCCTTCCTGGTATATTCTTTCCTTCCCTGAATATATTCATGCCTTTGCTATAAGTCAAATTAACCTCTCTTGGCTTCTCTGATTCCAGAATTTCACCCATTATCCTGGAACAACAAAGGTGCAAGAGCCTGATAGTACTAGTAAGGCAGAGGAAAAGGGAAAAGATCGTGAGGCCTATTCTTAAATACTTTGCCCTGTCACAGAGGAACAGAAAACGAGTCTCCGTATTTTCCTGTTCTGGCCTCACACAGTCTGTTTTCTTTGGTTTTGTTTTTCTTCTCAGGTGTCTTTGTCCTGACTCAGGTCATTAACTGGTTCCGGACGATTCCCTTGACCTTCAAGGATCAGTTCATCATTGCCTATGGAGGGCTCCGGGGTGCCATCTGCTTTGCGCTGGTGTTTCTCCTTCCTGCTGCTGTGTTTCCTCGTAAAAAGCTGTTCATTACCGCTGCAATTGTAGTCATCTTCTTTACTGTCTTCATCCTGGTGAGTAGAGGTCTTTCTCCCAGCAAAGTATCTCTCTTTCCCAGGAGCAAACAAGCTCTTTTTATCACAATGGAGTCCTTTTACAGAATGCAATGTCGCAAAGGTATGTTGAAGCTTTGGTAGTTATGTTTTAGGGAAAACGATATTTCCTCATGTCACTGGATTGTTCGGGGGCCTAAGAGGGTCCAATTTGGTTCTTCGGTCTACACAGAGGATTGTTGTTTAAGGAAACTCAGCTAAGTGATCTAAGCTTACCACCAGAAACTTATGAACTGCGCTTGCTAATCCCTGTCATTTGTCCTACTCTCTGACCTAGTAACTATGCTCGCAAAATGCTAGTTGTGCGATGACCTTCCAACAGCTATTTGACGTGAGTGGGTGCTTGGCAGTGTGTCCCTTGGAAGGGTGGGATGAGTGAATCCAGGTTTAATATTGGGAGGCAGAGAGAGTGGTGGGAAGAACATGCGCTTGTGTCAGGATCCTGACTTTTCAAGTTAATCCATCTCTTTAAGTTAATAAGCCAGCCCCTAGGAGATTATATCTTGTAGATATTCATTTCGTAAATACGCACTGGGCTCCTACTGTGCGCCAGGCAGTGCTCCAGGAGCTGAGGATCCATGAGTGAACCAAACACAGAAATGTCCCTGTGCTTGCAAAGCTTACATCCCCGGGGGGATGGCAGACACCAGACAGAAAACATAATAAGTAAGTAAATTGCAGCGTATGTTCGGGGTGAAGGATGCTATACAGTAAGGACAGGGCGTCCGGCATCGTGAGGATGGAGGAGTGGAGAGGGCCTTACAATTCTAAATAGAATCGTCATGGAAAGCAACAATGAAAAAAAATGACGTTCGAGCAAAGGCTTGTGGGAGGTGAAGGAATTAGCTAAGCTGAAGACCATTCCAGGCAAATGGGAGTAAAGGGCGGAGGTGTGAAGGCAGGGTGTTCCTGGCTGGTGTGGCTGGAGGGGAAGTGGGGTGAGTGAGGTGAGGGAGATTCTGGAGTCCTGGATCATGTAGGCCATGCAGGGTCATGTCAGGACTTTGGCTCTTCTCCAAGTGAGGTGGAAGCCATCAGAAGGATTTGTGCAGAAGTGTGATGTGTTTTATCTTACTTTGTAAAAGGATCACCCTGGGCCCTGCGAGATGAGTCTGTTAGGAAGAAAGGGGAGAAGTGGGAAAGCAGTGTGGGGGCTGGTGCAGTCATCAGGCGATACCAGGTGGTGGCAATACAGTTGGTGAGGAGGGTGAGAGCTTCGAGGGGGAAGCTGCTGGATTCCCTGATGGCCTGGACGTGGGGTGTGAGGGAAGGAGGACTCATGGAGGGCTCCAGGGTTTTTGGTCTGAGCAGCTGGAAGGATGCCCTCAGGTGGGAAGGGGGAGGCTGTGGGTGGAGGAGATGGGAGCAGGAGATCGGTGGCTCAGTTTTGAGCACGCTGGGTTAGGGGGTGGCTGTAGACCTCCAGGTGGAGGTGATGAGTAGGCAGGGTCCTGTGATTCTGGAGTTCAGGAAGGAGCTCAGTCCTCAGCAGTTAGCTGGTATTTGAAGCCATGAAACTGGAAGTGATCACCAAGGGAGTGAAATGTACATCAAGGGAACCAAAAAAGAGGACCAGGAAGTGGGCTTTGGAGCTGCCCAACCTTCAGACATTGGGGAGGAGAGGAGAGCAGCCAAGGAGGCTGAGCAGGAGTGATGAGTGACAAAGGAGGAAAAGCAGGAGATGTTTTTGTCTTTTTTTAATTCTTGTTTAACAATTAGTTCCAGAACACTTGCTTGGTGCCTGACCCGGGTGTCAGCACCTTTCACATTAACTCATTTAATCCTGATAACTATTCCCTGGCTTGAAACTCTAGGAGAAGTCACTGCTGTTGTTCCCATTTTATAGATGAGGAAACTGAGGCACTAAAACCGAGGTTAAATGCTTTTCCCAAGTTTACACAGCCAGTAAACGTGGAGCAGGAAGTCAAAACCAGTGTGGTCTTAGCTCTAAGTGCCTAGTGGAGTGCCCGGTGCATAGTAAGTACTCTATTGTAGCTCACTGTACTTCTCCTTCTTTCTAGTTGGTTCTCCAAAAAGCAGTTCATCCTTCACTCATGCGTACCCCCAACACTGGGGACAATGGGTTGTCTTGTCCAAGCAATCCTGGAGAAGGATGCTTTGGAGACCCTCTCTAAGTTAAGAAATGACCACTTTGCGTCCTCGTCTTTGTCATCAGCACCTTTATAATGCCGGTACCCATCCGTGGTGGCTTCCTGGTGTCAGGCACTCGGACAAGGGCTTTCCTATATGCATAATCTCCTGTCATCCTCAAAACCAACCTTTGGGAAAGAGACCAGTGTTACCCCCAGCTAAGGAAACTGAGGCCCAAAGAGAGAAAGCAGACTGACCGAGGACACGTGTTGGTAACAGATGGAAGCTGAGGTTGAGCCAGGGACTCTGACTCCACAGGCAGGCTCAGAACTACTGAGCTCTAGTGACCTCACTTAACAAAAATCCTTATTTACCAGGTCATGGTTTTAACAGTTTCAGTTATGGTTGTATATACTAGTTTCGGTTCAACCATCCCATGTTGTTTTGAGTCCCTTTGTTATACTCAGGGAGACACCTGGGTGTGAGGAGAAGCAAGTGTTCTTGGCTTCGTCTTTCTTCTGTGGTGTTTGTAGGATCCTTGTAACAAACATCCAGTTTGCTACTATCACACTTTGCCTGAAGCAGGATTGTGGAGTGAATCAATTTTGCCTTGAGCGTTTTAATCTCTCAGGAGCATCCTGGGGCACTGTGCTCCAGGAGAAAAGTCAGGCAGGGGTGAGTGACTCACCATCTCTTCCTAGGCCAGCTGCCCTGTCCTTACCACCCACAGCAAGCCTTACTGAGGCTTAGTCAATGCTCTGGACTCCTCTGCGCGCTCTCAGAACTTCAGGTGTCATATGTGAGTATCACATACGAAAATAGAACCATGTCAGTCTAGTGCAACAGGGAACTAGGTCGTTTGGAGATGAATGTATTAGCCATTACTGTCTACACAAGTGCTTCTCAAATATCTACAGTGCAAAACCAGAGCCCCCCCAACATCATGTACATGTGCATTGGTAAAGTACAATGAAAATGACTTACTAGAAAGATGTAATTCAAGAGAGGGCGTACAAAATATAAGCTCAGATTTTTTAGTTCTTAGATTCAACAGACATAAAATTACATTTCTACAATCAGAACAAACATAGCATAGGAAAAAAGAAAGTATGACAAAAATGTATACTATTGTTCATTGAATGTGTGTGTATAGGTGATTATATAATATCATTACACTCATAGTATTTTGGATTTTTGGAATCATAGCTCAACCCAAATATATAAGTGAGTTTTTGATTCCCCACATTCAAAGCCTACACACCCACTTTGAATGGACACCATGTATATCAATATTTAACACTGATTAACAAAGTTTTTAATGTGACAAATTAAAAACAGCAGAGGCAACAAGCAAAATAGTTTAGGATGGATTGTCTATATTTGGTTTTGTAAATGTATCAAGTTAACTCTTTGGTGATGGAGATTTTTGGGGCTCAATATTTGGAGTCTGCAAGCAAACCTCATGGATGGTCTTCTCCTCTGATTAGGTTTAAGGATAACCTGGCAGAGCTCACTGTGATGTGTGGGGAAGAGGAATCGCCATAGTTGCACGCCTGCTGCCCTCTCCTCTTCGCTATTGTCTGCGCACAGAGCGTAGACTAAGGGATGTTGCTTGGGTCCTTGACGCTGACCATTTCTCTCCCTCCCATTCTCCTCCCCACCACTGGCTGTTAAGAGACTGTGAACACACACATGCACACACATGTGGATAACACACACACTCCCTTCAGAAAGGATCTTTTTTCCAGAATACGTCAATAATTTAAAAACTCAGGGAAGGAAACCTGGAAGGAGATACTTACTTAGCTGTAAGATCTGGATAACGGTCCCTCCCTCCCAGGCAGTAGGGAGGAAATATGTATGTAAACACAGAACCTGATGCAAGGTTTTAACCTGATGATTTGCTGTGTTTTAATGATAACATTAAGTAAAATGGTACCAGAAGAAAGAAAAACTAATGCCTCTCAATGTACTTTTCTTTTCTTTGAAAGGAAAAATGATTAGAATACATTAGTTGTTATTTAATTTATCCCTATACACATAAAGCAGATCCTCGGAATTCTGGAATTCCACTCAGTGGTCATCTAGAAGTCCTTCACGTAGCAAGGCTGACTGGAATTCAAGAGACAGCAGTCTCTCTTAGCCTCCCTGGCACATTGGTGTTGTGTCTGCTGTAACTCACCGTCCAGGACTGTGACCTGTCTTGGATTTTCTCTACTTGCAAGTTAACAAGTTAGCCTGTTAAACTTTCATGGATGCTGGGAGAAGACACATGACTCCTGGGTCGGAGACATAGGACTTTATTACTCATGGCAAAAGCAGTAGATAGTGCTTCATGGTGGTTTTGTGTTAGTCCCATGGGCGTGGCATACTGGGCCCATGATGGATGTGTGCACATGCAGTGGGCTGCGTTATAGGAGACAGACCCAGAGCTTGAGGATCCATCACCCTTTGTCTGGAGGGTGACATTACCTCCTCTTTCAAGGTTCCTCACTGCAAACACAACCTTGAGAAACAGCCTGGGTAAAAAGCAGTCAGGGCCTTGTGTTATTGGCACATCTTGCAAGAATGTGTGGGAACACTCAGGACCCGTGGTGGGGTGGCCTTTCCCAACAATCAAATTCACCTCTTCTGACTTAGCCTCTCATACTGAAATGATGTTGCCGACTATTTTATAGACATTGTGAGGGCCTTCAATAAATGGTCACATATATATATATACACACACGTATATATACATATATATGCATGTATAACGTAATAATGACACATCTCTATTTTTAATTAACATGTACCATTACTAAGTAGAATTAGATGCAATTTAGAAAAATTTATTCTGTTCCTACAATAAAATGAGCAAGGATGTTTTT